GGAATTTGGAATTGGGGGCACAGGAATTTGGGAGTGTGGAATTGGAGATATAGGAATTTGTAAAATTGGAATTAAAGGATATAAGAATTTTGGAATGTAGAATTGAGGATATATTAATTTGGGAACATGGAAGTGGTGGTATAGAAATTTGGAAATGTGGAATTAGGGAATATAGGAATTTGGAAACCTAGAATTGAGGGTGTAGAAATTTAAGAATGTGGAATCAAAAATTAATTCAAATCAACTATTCAAAAACTTGAGAATATAATAATTTATTGAATTCCTAAATTAGAACTTGTACACTTACAAATCAGCAAAGATGAACACTAAAATTCGCAACAGAAGGTAACATTGCACCAGAGTGTAGCCAGAGTCCTTTAACCACAACGAAGCGACTGGTGCGCGACCGTTTCGGCGAACCTTCGAGCCAGGGTCAGGGACCTCTTTTCGCCCTTTCCTGTCTGTTTTTTTCGTCGCCGTTGTTAGCGTCTCGACGTGACCAACGGGGCCACAGGGTGCACCGTCGCGACTCGTAGAGCGTTTAACGAGCGTTGGGTGACGAGCAGCTCAAACCGTTGAACCGGCGATGATGAACGTTGATAAGGTTTTATGGTCGTGTCTCATCCTGTCCCACCAATCGTTGCCTCCTGCACACACACACACACTTTCTCTCTTACCTCTTTGGCCACACGGCAACTTATAAGCGTGCGACGATGCTCGTCTCTTTTTGCACGCTCTTTTCTTGCCCGCCGTGCACCTTGCCCTTTCTTCCGTGCCGTCGATCGCTCAGACACCGCCATATTGAGTGTTACGGAGAAAAACCGGATGACTTTTTGTACGTTTAATGGACTAGCGCGTTAAATACCGCGAAAGAAGCGGATGCGAGGCGCATGGATTATTATCGCGATTATTATGAAAGGTTGACTTCGAGTGGAAATTAGGATTTTTTAAAACTATGACTGGAACTTGTTTTACGAATAATGTATTTCATTTCATGTAATTAATTTCGGGAGAATTTATTTAGGTTACTTTCGGTTACGTAGTTAATTTAGGTTATCTACTTTTGAGGTTAGAAATTTGAACATTTGCAAATGTACAATCTGATAATTTATAAATTTATGAATATATAAGTCAGTAAATTTGTTAACTTCATTTTTAAAATATCTTAAAGTTATAACGTTGATTTTTACCGCTACAAATGTAAGAAATTTATTAACAACCTTGACTGTCACCTCGAATGTTCAGCTTCTGCGCAGTAGCTAACCGAAAGCGATAAACATGCGCAGTAAAGTCCACAGAATAAATACATTGGAATTTAATATAAGAACTTCACTGCGCATAATTATGACGTATTGCTACCGACTGCGCATATGTTTAATATTCAGGGTCATTTAAAAAATATTTCTCAAGCAATATTTATAACTTAAAACATTCTGCATTCGCTACTTAAATTTCAGCTTAATAGCTATTACCACAAAATAAAATATTATGAAAATTACAAAATTATATGATATAAAGAATTATTCTTTATGATATTAAAAATGAGAAACACCTGGAGCTTCGATCGATTAACTTAACATCGAAAGGAGTCACCCAAAGAATAATTTCGTGTATGCAATAATTTCTTCCACACCGTATTTCTTCTTTGAACGTCAGAAAATGAAGGAAGGATCGAGCGAAGTTACGCTTGAAATACAATTTCGCGAAATTTCTCGGAGGACGAAGAGGAAGCAAGGAGACGTCGCGTCGGAGGTGCAACTATAAGAAATTTTCCGGGTTCGTAGACTTTCGGGACGGGTAAGGGACGCGAAGGGCCCCGTCCCCGAGGAAGGAAACTCGTCCCGAAGTTCGTGCCTCGGGTCTTTTTCACGCATCACGTACGAAATTGACTGGAAGCAGGAAGTTAGTCGATACGTTCGTGCATTGCCGCGCGAACGACGCCGCTGAAAAGCGGTCCCGCTGCGAGCCTCGACTCTTCACAGTTTCAATCCTTCTGAGGGGAATTCGTTCTTGTATGCTTCCGATAACACACGTGAACTTGACAATTTTACAGTCAACAATTTTCATATTTACAAATTTTGAAATATTGAAATTCATTGATGCTTGGTTGCATTATATGGCTTTTTTTTATATGGACATGTTTGTGAATTCAATAGGTTGACTATGGGGGTTGAATATAGTTGGTTAATTTTTTAATATTAGAGTTATTGGATTTTGTAATTTTTTAAATTTGAAATTTCTGTATACTGCAATTCTTGGGTAACCAAATTTCTAAACCCCCGAATTCCAAGGTCCTCAAATTTCTACGCCACCGAATTCTTAAAGCTCCAAATCTCAAGTCCCTAAATTTCTACGCCCCCAAATTTCTAAACACCCAAATCCCAAGATCTCCAAATCTCAAGATCTCCAAATTCCTACGCCTCCAAATTCCAAGATCCCCAAATTCCAAGGTCCCCAAATTCCTACGCTTCCAAATTCTTAAACCCCCAAATCCCAAGATTCCCAAATCCCAAGATCCCCAAATTCCTACGCCCCCAAATTCCTAAACCCTCAAATTCCAAGCCCCCCAAATTCCTACGCCCCCAAATTCCTAAACCCCCAAATTCCAAGCCCCCCAAATTCCTATACCCCCAAATTCCTAAACCCCCAAATCCCAACATCCCCAAATTCCAACATCCCCAAATCCCAACATCCCCAAATCCCAACATCCCCAAATCCCAACATCCCCAAATATCTATGCCTTCAAATTCTTCCACCCCAAAATTCCTGCACCTCCAAATTGCCATACATAAATTCGTGACAACACTAACGACAATCATGATAATAAAATCGCTAATGTTTCAAGCACATTTTCTTATTTGACGAGAATTACAGTATCAGTGTAGTTACATGAAGTGCGACCATAATAAATAGTTCGTATGTTCCTGTTTTTGTAATACGTTTCGAGATGGACATAACGAGGTATGTACGTAATGAGTACATGTACACGCTCGATCAATGTACGATGATATCGTTTTCTAGGAACATACTTATCTCGAATAATATTTCACTGAATAACGTCTGGATCCCTCAGGAAATGATCTAGAGAGGAATGTTACCGCAAAAAAGAAACGCCTATCACTTATCACTGTCATATAGATTACGTTGTAGCTGTAGTGTTCCTTTCTTAGTTGAGCAACTTGCATAGTTCTACACATAGTTAAACATATCTTTATTCAAGTTTTTTATTCAGTTCTTTTTAAAAAATAATGTACTTTAGTACTGTAAACTTTGCTCCTTGTAGAAAATTGTAAATAGTTCATGAGTTTAATAGGCGCTATTGGATGTGGTAAGGTTAGGTTTTTGATCTGGTTAGGTTCGGTTGCAACACTTTCACATTGTTGCAACTGTTATTACTGTTAGGTTAGGTCATCACTATTACGGTTATTAACGTATTGCCATATTATTATTATGTTGATTATTATCACGTTGTCACATTGCAATTATCATATGTCATATCATATGTCATATATCATAATGATGATCATATTACTGGCATTATTGCAATGCTGTCATGTTATTTTAACAGCAGTTATATTATCATATACATTAAGTACTACAATAAAATCCTGTACAAATATAATATTGTTATGTGTATCACATGTTATAATTATCACATATGTCACATATCATAATCATGATCATATTACTGACATTATTTTAATGCTGTCATTGTATTTTAACAGCAGTTATATTATCAGATACATTAAGTACTGTAATAAAATCCTGTACAAATATAATATTGTTATGTGTATCACATGTGATAATTATCACATATGTCACATATCATAATCATGATCATATTACTGGCATTATTATAATGCTGTCATTGTATTTTAACAGCAGTTATATTATCAGATACATTAAGTACTGTAATAAAATCCTGTACAAATATAATATTGTTATGTGTATCACATGTGATAATTATCACATATGTCACATATCATAATCATGATCATATTACTGGCATTATTATAATGCTGTCATTGTATTTTAACAGCAGTTATATTATCAGATACATTAAGTACTGTAATAAAATCCTGTACAAATATAATATTGTTATGTGTATCACATGTGATAATTATCACATATGTCACATATCATAATCATGATCATATTACTGGCATTATTATAATGCTGTCATTGTATTTTAACAGCAGTTATATTATCAGATACATTAAGTACTGTAATAAAATCCTGTACAAATATAATATTGTTATGTGTATCACATGTGATAATTATCACATATGTCACATATCATAATCATGATCATATTACTGGCATTATTATAATGCTGTCATTGTATTTTAACAGCAGTTATATTATCAGATACATTAAGTACTGTAATAAAATCCTGTACAAATATAATATTGTTATGTGTATCACATGTGATAATTATCACATATGTCACATATCATAATCATGATCATATTACTGGCATTATTATAATGCTGTCATTGTATTTTAACAGCAGTTATATTATCAGATACATTAAGTACTGTAATAAAATCCTGTACAAATATAATATTGTTATGTGTATCACATGTGATAATTATCACATATGTCACATATCATAATCATGATCATATTACTGGCATTATTATAATGCTGTCATTGTATTTTAACAGCAGTTATATTATCAGATACATTAAGTACTGTAATAAAATCCTGTACAAATATAATATTGTTATGTGTATCACATGTGATAATTATCACATATGTCACATATCATAATCATGATCATATTACTGGCATTATTATAATGCTGTCATATTATTCTAGCAGTAATTATATTATCAGATACATTAAATATTATTATCAAATTCCTGTACAAGTATTATAGTATGTGTATCACATACGATAATTATCGTCATATTATCATATGTTATTATTAAAGTTGATATCACGTAATGAGTAGAGTGGAAGGGTATTAACGTGGAACGTATAATTTTTGTCGATAGTGAGCGCAAGTAGCTACATAGTGTCAGTGGTGCTCGTCCTGATAGTCGGGGCACTGGTGGGTGTCCTGGCGACGGTATCGCATCATCTTCATCATCGTCGGTTGCTACTGCACGAGCCGGCCTCCGCCTCGATCTTGCATCACCATCGGCATCATCATCATCGTCATCATCATCATCATCGCGAGGAGCTGCCGGCGTCGCATCAACGACGTCTCCTATTGCAGGATCACCATCGTCATCCTGGCACACCGGTGAGTGATTACTTTTAATTGCGTGTACCGACACTTTCGACGATTTAGCAACTTCATTCTATCCCGTAAATTAGATTTTATCCGGAAAGAAATTTCCATCTCCGTACTGAGGGTAATAAACGACATTAACCACCTCGATCGACCGTTAATTAGCGCTAATTGTTACAAAGTTGCGTGTTCTCGTATAATCTCGCGTGCTAAAATGTGATTTATAGGACAAGGTAGATTTTTTTGACCGCAGATTTGATGCCGTCACAAATTTGCAATTTCCATCGCGAAATTGACTTCATCCGTATTTAATGCGGTAAACGAGTCGGCTGTCCACAACGCGTTCATTACCGCCGTTTGCTATAAGCTACAATTTATTTGGAAACGGATCTTGGATCGCAGATATCGAGATTTTATCCGATAACAACTTCGCTACCGCAAAATTTTTCATCCCGCATTATGGACGCGTTGACCATCAACGACGTGTTAATCGGTAGCGGCCGTTATTAAGTTATAATTTATTGAAAACGGTGAGTCCTCGGATGTAAATTCCCCGATCTTATCCAATAACAAGTTTGCAATTTCCATTGCAAAAGTTTTACCCGGGCATTAAATGTAATATACACGTTGACCGTTGATAAAGTGTTAATTAGCACCGATCGTCATTAAGATACACTTTGTTGCCCAAGATAGATCCTCGGATGCGAATCCTTAGATTTTATCCAGTTTGCACATTTGACTGTACAATTTTTACCCCCGTATTAAACGTAATAAACACGTTGACCGTTGAAAAGGTGTTAATTAGCACCGATAGTTACTAAGATATACTTTGGGTAGATCGGATGCAAATTCTTCAACTGTTATATGCGATTTCCATTGCAAAATTTTCCTTCTCGTGTAATAAATTCGCTGACCGTCGATGAGGCGATAATTAGCACTGATCGCCGTTACGATACTTTATTACGCATACTTTGTTCAGAAAGATACATCGGATGTTTCTTAGATTTTATCCGACGACAAATCTCCATTGCAGAATTTTCACTTTTAAATTAAAATTAATAAACTCGTTGACCATCGATAACGCGATAATTAGTACTGTTCTTTATGAGGCTATAATTTATTGAAACAGATACATCTTGGAGTGCAAATTTGCAGATTTTATCTAGTAACAAATTTACAGTTTCCGTTGCAAAATTTTCACCTCGTGTAATAAAGGAGTAAGGTGTTAATTACCCTTGCTAAGTATGAAGTTACTTGTAATAAACTTTCGTGTCCACGAATCTCAAATTAGATCTACTATTCGATTTCCTTTGAGAGTGAAAGGTATTTTCAATTTACATATAGTTTTAACATAAATGATATTCTTATATACATAATTTATATTCTCATAATTTGTGCGTAATTCTTATACACTTGTAATTCTTGAAATAGCCTCAACGTTAATTAAATTCGAGGATAATACCAGATTTTTATTTGAAGGGCAGCTTCAAGGTCACTATCAAGTGCAGTACTTAAATCTGTATAATTTCTGTTCTGAGTATTTTTATTCTGAAAATATATCACTTGTGAAAGAAGGACTCTGTTCACAATGCTAGTAGGAGCAGCAAGAGTTGAGGGGTGGTTTCTACCCCTATTTGTCAGTAACATATTGTTGGATTTTGTAATTTTTGAAATTTGAAATTTCTATGTGCTGCAACTTCTGGGTAATTAAATTTCTAAATCTTCAAATTCCAAGGTCCTCAAATTCCTACGCCACGTAATTCCTAAAACTCCAAATCAGAAGTCCTTAAATCTCTACGCCCCCAAATTCCTAAACACTCAAATCCCATGACCTCCAAATCCCATGATCCCCAAATTCCAAGGTCCCCAAATCCCAAGATCCCCAAATTCCTACGCCCCCTAAATCCAAAGATCCCCAAATCCCAAAATCCCCAAATTCCTAAGTCCCCAAATCCTAAGATCCCCAAATCCCAAGATCCCCAAATTCCAAGGTCCCCAAATTCCAAGGTCCCCAACTTCCTACGCCCCCAAATTCCTAAATTCCCAAATTCCAAGACCCCCAAATTCCTAGGTCCCCAAATCCCAAGATCTTCAAATTCCTAAGTCCCCAAATCCCAAGATCCCCAAATTCCAAGGTCCCCAAATTCCAAGGTCCCCAAATTCCTACGTCCGCAAATTCCTACGCCCCCAAATTCCTAAACCCCCAAATTCCAAGCCCCCCCAAATCCCAAGATTCCCAAATCCCAACATCCCTAAATCCCAACATCCCCAAATCCCAACATCTCCAAATATCTATGCCTTCAAATTCTGCCACCCCAAAATTCCTACACCTCCAAATTGCCATACATAAATTCGCTAATGTTTCAAGCACATTTTCTTATTTTCAAGCTTCACTAAATCGACACAATAACAGTTGAGTAGTGTCACTACTGTTAACATCTTAATATATTAAACTTTTTCAATTTCTAGTACCCCCAGCAACCCTCATACACTATTTCAAAAATTCCTAACCTAACGAAAGTTCCTAACCTCCTCGATGAAAATATTTTCATAACAGACTACAAGGAAAAGGAAACGTGATTTCCCATCTGACGGAGGTGCTCGCGGACAGCGTCGTCGGCCTTCGACGAGATTATTATGCGATTCGTGGAACGTCGAAGGCTGTCTGGAAAAAAGCTGTCTGATATCTAATCTCGGTCGGGATGGTAGCAGCGCAGCTGCGTCTATCTAACCCACATGTTTTCCCCTCGACACCGTCTGTCTGGAAAAGCAGACCGCGTTCTCGTGGCCACGTTCCTTTTCCGCCATCTTCCTCTTCCTTTCTCGCCACCATTGTTGTTCCTCGTCGATCGAGTTCGCGCGATTTTTCTCTCCCTTCGCTCTTTTCTTCGTGCCGCCTTTCAACCGGCTTTTGCGCGAAAGATTTATTTCCGCGCCGGGACCGACGCTGAAATCGGCAATGTCGCTGGTTTCAGCGTTTTCGCTTTGAGTTATTTCTTCGCGCTTTGCTGCTCTTTCGGATTAAGGCTTGTTTTATGGACGGGTTACGTTTCTGCTGTTATTGGGGGCGTGACTTTAATCAACGGAAGGATGATACTGCAGCCGATCTTAACGATTATAGATATCTTATTGATACTTAACGACGTATCGATAGTATCTTTCAGATGTCGGGATAATGAAAATGGTGTAACCTGTAATTTTATCCTTTCTGACAGATTATTTTTTAGGATCTAATCTTCGGTATTTGATTTTATTCACCGGATTGTTTGTATAACTTACTTTAATCTGGATCGAATTCCAAGGTTGTAATAATTATTTTACTATACTCAATTAAATTTATCTAAATTTTTAATATAACGTTTTCGAATTTGATGTATAAATGAGATCAGGTAAATTTTGTCAAATTTATTTTTGTCTAATTTTCAAACGATGTATAATTTTATTCATACCTTCTCTTAAACTTCTAATCTAATCTACCTTATACTTATACCTAAGTAATTTTGTTACACAAGTTCATTTATTCGTATCTTCTAACCTGATCTCATTTAGCCTAACCTAATCTAACTTGACGACGTATATACATTATATCATACATTATGTATATGTATACATATTTGTGTTTATAAATTAACCAAATCTAACTTGGTGACATATAAACATTATATCATACATTATACAAATGTATACATATTTGTGTTTATAAATTAACCTAATCTAACTTGGTGACATATATACATTATATCATACATTATACATATGTGTGTTTATAAATTAACCAAATCTAACTTGGTGACATATATACATTATATCATACATTGTACATATGCATACATATTTGTGTTTATAAATTAACCAAATCTAACTTGGTGACATATATACATTATATCATACATTATACATATGTGTGTTTATAAATTAACCAAATCTAACTTGGTGACATATAAACATTATATCATACATTATACATATGTATACATATTTGTGTTTATAAATTAACCAAATCTAGCTTGGTGACATATATACATTATATCATACATTACATATATATATACATATTTGTGTTTATAAATTAACCAAATCTAACTTGGTGACATATAAACATTATATCATACATTATACAAATGTATACATATTTGTGTTTATAAATTAACCAAATCTAACTTGGTGACATATATACATTATATCATACATTATACATATGTATACATATTTGTGTTTATAAATTAACCTCTCAGTCATCGATAATGTGTACAAAATGTGTAGGAAATGGAAAAAATAGATGAAGTACAAATAGCGCAAAGTGAAATCGATCTAGTTAATTTCTCGTTGCCATTACATTCCGATTCGAATCGATTCACTTTGTCTTTCGAGATGCTCAATTAAGCCTGTTCCACGAGGCGCATAATAGCCCTGAATCCGTAGGTTTTCAATGCGGGCTTATCACCGCAGTCTCGAATAATGATAAAAAACGAAGGCGGAGAAAAAGAGAGATGAAAAATATGTTCGTCACAGTACAGGTATCCCAATCACTCGAGGCTGTTGTTCTCATCGATATCTACCGTTTCCATCGCTCTCTTTATTCCCGGCAGTCTCGGTTTCCTCTTTCGTTTTTTCTCCCCTTTTTCGTTCCTTTCTTTTTTTCCTCCTCCTTTTGTTCCACCTTTTCAAGGGGGGTTCGACGCGACTTTCCTCCTCGTATTTTCCACGGCACACACCGGACCGCGTCGCGACGCGCTCAGCCCGAGCCGAGCCGAGCCGAGCCGAGACGGTCCTTCTTCTCCTCGAGAGGAGAGAAGGCGGACGGTCCTTCTCGTCGCTTCCACAAAAGATTTATTTCCAGCAGACGCGACAGGCCCTGATAACATCAGCGTCGGAAACACCGAACGAGAGAAACGGAAAGACGAACGGATAGAGAGGGAATGTCCCTGATTCGATTTGTCTCGCGCTACGACGTGCTTATGGCCCTGACGTCGGACTTCCGGAACACGGGACGTATTGTTTGCCTCCGAGGA